TTTCCAACATAACGAGCTGCTGCACTTCCTGTTTCCAACACAACGAGCTGCTGCACTTCCTGTTTCCAACATAACGAGCTGCTGCACTTCCTGTTTCCAACATAACTAGCTGCTGCATTTCCTGTTTCCAACATAACGACCTGCTGCATTTCCTGTTTCCAACATAACGAGCTGCTGCACTTCCTGTTTCACTCTCATCATTTTGTCTTTCAGCTTCGATGATGCTGTCACTCACACACACACAACTGAAACCAAGTGTCTGGTGAGTGGGAGAACACCGTGCACACGTTTCATATATAAATAACAGAATGAACTCTCCGTGCACACGTTTCTGATGGAAGTAACAGAATGAACTCTCCGTGCACACGTTTCTGATCTAGATAACAGACTGAACTGGGCGTTTGTGATGTTTGCTGTCGTGTGGGGAAGCGCTGAATGAAACTCTGATTGTTGTGCAGGTTGTCAACAAAGAAGACAAACCCTATTATCAGATCACATGTGGGGAGCGCACGGAGCACGTGGCACCGGAGGATGTTGCAAAACACATCTTCCTCAAAATGAAAGGTAGCTGGAGTGAAACGTGCACTGTCTGTGTAAATAATCAGTAAAGTGACTGGTGTTGAAGAAACTGACAGGCAGTAGTTGTGGAATGTGTTGACGTGTAAATAATGATCATGAGTTGAGCGACACGTGTTTCCACAGAGACGGCTCAGTCAGCTCTGGGCTCGGATGTCACCGACACGGTTATTACCGTTCCCTTTGATTTTGCACGTTCTCAGAAGTGTGCCTTGAGGTGAGTCGTCCTGGGAGCTGAACAGATTCTTCGGTGACGTGAAGGACTTCTGGTTGCTCACGTGTGTTTGTTGCAGGGAAGCAGCTGAAGCTGCAGGTTTCCATGTCCTGAGGATGATCCATGAACCTTCTGCTGCTCTGCTGGCCTACAACATCGGACAGGACTGCTCCTCTGGAAAGAGGTACAACATCTGCTGATTCCACAGGATGGAGGGATGGGTAGAAGAATGGAGGGAGGGATGAATGGAAGGATTGATGGAGTAACTGATTGACTGACTGATTATCTTGAAGAAAAGAACCAGCGATCAAAGGTTTTTCCTGCCGCTTGAATCTGACCTTGAACTCACCGCAGGAGCAGGTGATGTGTTCAGTGTCAGCTGGCTCACTAGTAAAACACTCAGGTGTGTTTCTGAGCCACAGCCAGGTGTGTTGTATCCCCAGGGGTGCGGTGTGGGGGTGGTGTCTCAAAGGACACCGCTCCTGTGGAGCTGTGTATGTTGACGATGTGTTGGTGTCCACAGCCATGTTCTGGTCTACAAGCTGGGTGGGACGTCTCTGAACGTGACGGCGCTGCAGATCAACGGAGGACTGGTCCGAGTCGTCTGCACCGACACCGATCACAGCATCGGGGGGGAGAGCTTCACCCAGGCCCTGGTCCAGCACCTGGCCTCGGAGTTCAAACGGTACGCTGGGGTGAGGCTCGAACACACGCCTGACACGGTGGCTCAGAATTCAACAAACTGGCTTTGTTTTCAAAATGAAGATGTCTGCTGTTGTGTGTTTGTTGTCCAGGAGCTTCATGTTGTTTTTTCATTCATTCAACCTTTATTTAGACAGATAAGTCACATGAGCCTAGAAGACTCATTTACAAATGAGACCTGTTTATAGACCGACAAAAAGTAGTGAAACGGGACACATGCAGGAATTTGGAGGCGAAAATATTCCTATCAGACTTTTTCTTCTTGGCTGAGAAGAAAAAAACTGATATTAAAAAACACCTCACACAAACAAGCACATAGTGACGTAGACATTCTGCAGAGGTGGGGAAACGACGAGAGCGATGAGCAATGTCCATGGACGCTCTCGAGGACACTGTAAGAGTTCTGATAAGGATGGAATAATCAGCCAATGTCCTCTGGTGAGATCCATAAACTTTTTTTTTTTCATTGACCTTTATTTATCCAGGTAGTCCCATTGAGCCACGAGAACTCATTTTCAAGCGAGACCTGTTTAGGGAGCAGATGGGGTTTAAGGGCCTTGCTCATGGGCCCAGAGTGGGGCAAATGAGGGTGGGGGCAGGTGTGGGTGCTTCACCTACCCCACCCACAATTTTGATGTTGTCGGGGCCGGCCCACCTCTCTAACCTCTGCGCCACCACTCCCCACATAAACATTCTTGAGGTATGCCGAGGAATGGCCAAGAATAACGACTGAGAACCTAAGAGTCCTGAAATGATGACACCATGTTTATTCAGCTGGTTTCCGTGGGGGGTTGGTGAGCATCAGATCACATGTTCTCCAGGTGAATTCAGATAAGATGGCCTTCAAGGCCAACCAAAGGAACCAAATTCAGATAAACACACAGTTGTTTTGAGGACAGGCAGAACTTAATGGCATCTACCTTGAGTCTGTGTTGGTCAACTCGGTTCCGAAATGTCCAAATTACATGGCCACACCGATGGAACTTGACTGAGTAAAATCCTCGAGATCTGATCCATTCAGCCCAAAGCATTTGAGTCTGGGTACTCGAGGCACGAACCAAGCCATCATAAAGGCAAGCAGTGTGATCGGGTCCAAATTTGCTGCAGACGACTTCCTTGATTGTTGATAAAACCAGCAACCAGCCGAATCCAAAATAGCAGGAACCAGTTATCATAAATCCAATTAAATATGCGTCCTTAAAATACACAAATGGCAGCAGAGATAGACACATCATTAAGTCTTCAAGTCGATGAGATATCCAGCTGCGTGCCAACAGGGCAAATCGGCTCGCCTACAGCCTGTCTTCTCTTCAAGAAATGTTGTAAATTGTGTTGAGGGACCAACTGATCAAATAAAGTCTATAATTATGGTTCAGAAGATATGAAGAGAGGCTCAGAAGCAGTTTCACAGACAGACAGAGCAGCAAAGCGGAGAGGGAGAGGAGGGGAAAAGCCTCCGACCTCGACAAGAGCAAGTGGTGAAGTGATGTTGTGTATTTGTTGTGCAGGAGCTTCAGACACGATGTGAATAGCAACCCTCGGGCGCTGCTGAAACTCATGAACAGTGCAGACATGGTGAAACACTCGCTCTCCTCTCTGGGATCAGCCAACTGCTTCGTTGATTCTCTGCATGACGGCATTGACTTTGAATGCACCATCTCCAGGTGAGCTATTGAATCTCATGACGGCTTTGTCTTTAAATGCACCGTCTCCATGTGATGTGTCACCAATGGTTCCTCTAATACTTAAGCTACTACACTGTGTTCGTTAGACTGTGACTAGGATTCTTGAGAGAAGCGAAACGTGCTTTATTCACACAAGGAGAGCTGTTGGTCAGGCAGGTTTTTTTGTGCCATTACCTCTTTAATAGTTATTGAATCATGTGTTACTTGTGTAGGAAAACTAGATGTTAATAATTGACCCATTAAAATACACCAGAATGCAGGAAACGGCCTCTAATTTATTCAATTTTTTTCTGGGGGAGGACCCCCAGACCCTCCCACCAGTGTCACCCCCCACCCACACCTACATACACATTAAAATGCTTCTGACGCCAATAGCCACCGTGTTGCTAACCATTTTCCAGAGCAGGACCCTCACCCAGGCCACAACTGGACCACGACCCAGACAAAAGCAGAACTCACATTTAACATACTACTCATCTCATGAACAACAAGATTATTGTCTCTTTCATTTGAAGTGGTTCAGATCACATCTAATAAAAGTAAATGAATGAAAGTGAACTAATGGAAATTGCTATAATTTGATGATTTTAATAAGGCGTGTAACTTGCTATGAGACCAGGTGTGGTACTGGTGTAGTGGAGTGCTGTACGACTGTGTGTGGAGGTGAATGTGAGGTCACAGATTATGTTGTAAAGAGCTTTCTCTTGGTCATATTGACTTGTACTTTATAAGTACAGTCCATTTACCTTTAAGATGTTTTTCTGTTTAAAATGTTTGTTTGTTGTGACACTGGTGTTAAAAAGATTACTTTAGAGTAAAGGATGGAAAGCAGTAAGACGGTGAACCTTTTGATGCAGCCTTCAGCAACAGTCCAAGGCTGACTCTTGACCTCACCTGACCTCACCTCTACTGTACTAGTTGCTCCATCATTTCTGTCAAATGATGGGATCCAATTTGTACAATTATGCAGGTAATTTTTTATCAGTTGAAATAATAGTAAACTGCAGATGGGTACAAATATGATAAATATTTGTGATAGAGGTGGTGACAATCAACAAGAAGCAGATTAAACTTCAGGTCTGAAGGCTTTTCATTGTTGATGAACATCTGTGCGTTTCTGAGAAAAGTGAAAAGCCCAATTTTAACCTTTGAATGTTTCTTTGAATCTCCACAGAGCTCGTTTTGAGCTGCTCTGCTCTTCACTCTTCAACAGAAGCATCCAGCCAATCAGGACGCTGCTCGACAAGGCTGGCCTGACTGCCAACGACATTAACAAGGTATGGTGCAGTGTCTCCCCCAGGAAGCTCCGCCCACCTAAGAACTGAGCGCCCCTCCTACCAAATCTCCCACACAGCTCCGACATTTCCAATGATATCTTTCTTACATCCTTCTACCAATATACCCACTGTCCCTCCTCTGGACATGTCCAAACCACTGTCCCTCCTCTGGACATGTCCAAACCACTGTCCCTCCTCTGGACATGTCCAAACCACTGTCCCTCCTCTGGACATGTCCAAACCATCTCAGTGTGTCCTCTCTAACTTTATCTCCCAGTTGTTCAACCTGTGCTGTACCTCTGATGATCTCATTCCTGATCTTCTCCATCCTTGTCTCTCCTAAGGAGAACCTCAACATCTTCATTTCTGACACTTCCAGTTCTGTCTTCTGTCTTTTTGTCCATGTCTCTGTCTCCAGACCGTACAACATAGCTGGTCTCACCACTGTCTTGTGAACTTTTCCTTTGAATTTTTGCTGACACCACTCCCATCCATCCATCCTCTTCCGCTTATTCCGAAGTCGGGTCTTGAGGGCAGCATCTTGAGCAGGGAGGTCCAGACATCTCTTTCCACAGCCACCTCTTCTAGCTCTTCTGAGAGGACCCCAAGGTGCTCCCAGGCCAACTGAGAGACAGTCTCTCCAGCATGTCCTGGGTCTTCCCCGGGGTCTCCTCCCAGTCAGACATGCCCAAAGCGTCCAGGGGGCATCCTTACCAGATGCACCTCAACTGACTCCTCTGGATGTGGAGGAGGATGTGGTACTCGCATTATAGTTAATAATAATGATACCATATTCACTCTGAGAAAATGGGACCAGTTTAACTCTGGGACAATGAGACCAGATTCACTCTGGGAAAATGGGACCAGTTTAAATCTGGGACAATGTTTAACTCTGTGAGGCCAGTTTAATTTTTTCCTTCAACCTTTATTTCTACATTCCTTTATTTCTATTAATGCCATTGAGCCTCGGGAACTCATTTATAAGAGAGACCTGATTTATCAAAAGGTGATGACAACAATGGACAAGAACGACAACAATAGACGATTATAAAAGAGGCATATATACAATGTTAAGTTTCTCTTTTTTTACAAATCAAAACAATCAAAACAAAAGCAACCAAAAGGTCAAGAGGAATATAAGGCAATTTAGAAAACTAAAAACAGGAACATCTGCAGGACCTGAACAGATGTTTGAAGCCACTTAGAGAGGTCAAAATTGAAAGCTTCAGGTCTTTTTACAAGATGTTCCAGGAAACAGGAGCGGAGTAGGAGAAGGT